ATGAAATCTGCCCTTGCGGAATTGAAAAGCAGTAATAGAAGAGAAAACAGGAGTTGTCATTCTCAGCAAGGAGTTTAATAATGGGCTTCTGTGCTCTGCACTATTCCTTCTGGGAAGTACATTTAACAACAGTGACAACGCATATCTCCTCAATATCGTCTAAATAACCGTAGCGTTATCATTAAATGTTTGCATGTGCGTCGTATTCCAAGTGTGCAACTTCCTACCAAATATGTAGGTGGACTACCAGTAGGGTCACCTGGACAAAACTGGTAGAACTTCCTTAGAGCACATCTCAGTTTTTCTTCAGCCACAATCCCTGACAATAGCATTGTAAACACATAGGGTGCAAGAATAGGGAGAGTCCAGGGGCTTGTAATCTAGTTCTACTTCTGCCACCATTTTGTTTTGTAACCCTAGACAAATCACATTTGCCTCCAGCCGCTGGGTTCCTCACCTGTGAAATGGGAAGAGGGGTGCTTGCCCTTCCCACCTCATGGATATGCTGTAAAGATTAAATGAGCTTATAAAGGAGAAAGTGCATTGAAAAGTGCATCCTACAAGCACAAGATGCCTTAATGGTGAATATTAGAGAAGAGCGATGCTAGGAGGGAATTAGAGATCACCTAGTTTATTCTACTTAGTTCACCAATGAAACCACTGAGGCCCAGTCTCCAAGGTCAAACAGCTAGTTACCGACGAGCTAGGATGAGCATCCTGCTCTCCTCTTCCCCCTAGTCTGCACTGTGCACTCTGCCACTGACTTACCTAAGCATTGATTGTCTCCTTTTGTCAGTATAACAGAATTGATCTCGAATATCAGCATTAAAGTGTCTTTTGACATCAGTATTATAAAAGAACTCTGCTAAAACTGATCTAATTATGAAACTAATATTTCTTATAATAAACAGTTGATATTTTAGTATTCCAAAATGGTCAATCCCAAGCATGCAGAGTGCCCCTATTTAAGTTCAAACTGCCAACATAGTACCTAATACCCACTGAGCACTCACAATGCGCTGGACTGTGTT